TGAGTGGGAGAGAGACACATCACGGCTTGTGTATCTCCCCCTCTTGTGATGCTGTTATCAAGTAATGAAAACAACCGCGCCTGGATTGTGTTGATCCTCCTCCACACAGAAGATGCCCCTGCTTTTAAAAAAAAAAATGTATTTCTCTTTTTGCTTCTCTGATAGCTCTCAGACGAGACTCTCCTTAATCTTCAAGAACTCTATGATTGTGGCGAGGGTTGTTATCAAATGAAGCAATCACAGATACACGTTCAAGTTCAACACAAATCAGTGGAGGGGCCAGAGCTGTGTCATTAAGCATTAATAAACCAGTGTTTCTTGATTAGTGAAGGGTGTGTTTTTGTTCTGTGTTGCTGCAGATACAAGGTGATGTCAGGGACCCCGGAGAAGATTTTGGAGCACCTCCTTGAAATGATGAGATTGGATTCTCAATTCACAGAGTCAGGTAGTGCTGGGCATGCAGCATCCACGAGGCCAGATTAGTGCCGTGTAACACAATCTATCAATATGATGATCATTTATTATCAGTTCAATTCAATTCAATTCAAAAACTTTATTTGTCCCCGGGGGTAATTCAAAGGCACACAGAGCAGTAAATTAACAACAGTGCAGGTAGTTGAAATATTTTGAACCTAAAATATAAAGTGTCAATTTAAATACAACTTAAAGCTTAAACTTAACTTAAAATACAAAATATAAAGGAGTAGATATAAGTGGACAGTGATCGGACTAACAGATGTAACAGATGTAAACAGAACTATGTGCAGTAAACGAGAAATAAATATATATATACAGAGCTATGTGCAAGTAGGCAAATACTAAATGATAAGTTACAAGGTGCATGGAGAATAATGGAACTAATATAATATAACTATAAAAGGTAAATACTGAATGAATAAATAAAGTGACCGTAGTGCAATGATGGATAAGAAACAACAGGGATAAAGTAACCAGAACTGTATGAATACTGAAGGTGTTCCTTCTTTTTGCAGTCTGTTCATCCTCTCACTGTTTGGACCCTCTGTCCAGTGCCTGCTGCTCTGCACTCTTCATTTGTTCTCATCTATAATTAGCCACACATCACAGAGCTCATCTAATTACTCCCGCTTGTGCGGATACATATGGTTTTCATTTTGCCTTCAGAGGCGACAGACACGGGCCATGTGGATGAAGGCCTGATGACCCTGGGGGACGATATTGGATCTGCTCTGACGCTGGTTTCACCTCCTCTCTCTTTGATTCACTCACAGATGCAGCCTTAGATGACTTTGTCCTTGTGCACTGTGTCTTCATTCCAAACACTCAGCTGTGTCCGGTGCTGATGGCCCAATATCCTTTCAGCAATATGTTACCCAGTGTGGTTAAATGAACCTTCACATACCCATATACCTTCTCTTCTCTACTAAAATCTTTAACTGCTGTGCACCTACCACGCCCAGGCCCTGCAGGGATCTGAACAGGAGAAACTGGACTATACACTTAACAACAAGCGCAGGGTGATCCGCCTGGTGATGCAGTGGGCTGCAGTACATGGAGATCACCTGCAGGAGGAGGACATGTCGGTGGCCTTCCTAGAGGTCAGCCTACACATAGAAGGAACAATAAAGCAGCTGTCTATCTACTGTACAGTTATTGTTATTTTATTACTGAACATGTATTAGTAAAGTAATCAAGTCAACAGAAGCCCTTAAGGCAAGTAAGAAAAAAAAAATGTCATTGTTTACTTTTTTTTTTCTCTTACTTGTCTTTTTTGTTCATGTCGGACAACTGTTGGGAAAAATACTTTTTTTCCTGCATAGTCTTTCTTAATTCTCTTCTTTTCATTCATGAGTTCTAGTGTGTGTTTTGGTCAGTTTTACAACTTGCAAAATACAAAAAAAATATATGGGATGGGGGGATCACACAATTATATTTTCAGTATTATTTTCTTTGTCAGTGACAAAAGAGTTGACAAGAAAGTTCTGAGATTTAAAAACAATTCTGTTTGTTGTTGTAATACTCATTATGACCACAAGAGGCTGAGTGCACCACCTGTCATAACAGGATACAAAGCATTCATGTTTCTTCTCACTTAGAGGAAACAGAGGGAAAACAAAATTTACCTGAAAGAGACAAGTATGCTTTCAGCTAATTGGAAATTACAGAGAGGAATTCTTAAAGTTTGTCACTTCTTCTGTTGAAAAAAACAATTAGGTCAGACCTTAAGGGATACGTAGGCAGAATAATATTGACCAAATGTTCATGTTTGTGTTGTGATATGTGTCTGTCCGGTGATTCCAGATGTTGAACTTGTAGTTCTATAGTTATGTTTATCCAGGGCTTGTTGTGTTCTGCAGGAGTTTCTTGTGGCTGTTTCTCATGATGCCAAAGTGATTTCAGCACTCAGGGATCAGCTAGCAGAGCTGGAGAGAATTGTAAAGCAGAAGTAAGTTTTTGGGGGTTATCAGAAGAATACATTTAAATCTTGAAAATGGCCATCTTTTTTTGTTATTGATAATATTGTAAGCACCATGATCCTCCTGCATGTGCTTACAAATCAAAAGTAACGTCCTGGTGATCATTTCCCTCCAGGTTTTTAATGGTAATCAAACGTACTGAACTTAAGTGGTGCTTTTTCTTTTATGGTGTAGCTCTGAAGATGCCAAAGTCTCACAGAAAAAGGTAAAAAAGTTTATTTTCCCCACTTTCCTTCAATATTGAAGTCTATGTGAGGGTATTATTGTAATGTTAAAGAAATGATGACTGAATGTGTTTTTTATTCTCAGCACAAAGTCCTTCTGCGACAGTTCAGTATGGGAGACGAGAAGCTTCAGAGACGCCAGCCGATCAAGAGTAATGATGAAAGTGAGTAAAGGACATGTCCACACATTTCATTTGAATCTATGACAGAAGGCGTGTCATGGCCTGTGGCTCATTAGAGGTTTACTGTTGCTTCACACTCCTGTCTTTAACTGTTACATCATATCTGCTTGTTGAAACTTTTGTGAAGCAATATCTTCAATCTTACACAAAACACTCGTCAGTGCTGTGTAGTCCAGTGTTTAAATAGGAGTGTACGTTTTCATTTAAAGTATAATACAACTTGTAATCTATTACTCAGGGACTTTATGAGGAATGTGATGTAGGATTTTATGTTGTTGTGACTATACCTGCACTATAGTAATACAATATGCAAGGTGCTATCACATGATTAAAAATCACAACAACATGAAGATTGATCATTTAATAAATCCTGAAAAATGAATGTTAGGTATAATTCATTTTTTACGTCTGTCTGCTTTTCTTCATATTTACATAGTACCTGAGATTGTGACATGTTCCTCTGGAATCACAAAATAAATCCATCAAATAATTGTTTTCATGTCCATATTGGTACCAATTCTTTTGAGGGTAGCCAATAGCTAACTTTAGCTTCCTCTGAATCTTTCAAAATGAGATCACAGCATCCATAAATCAGTTACAATGCACGCATGCAGAGTGAGAAGGCGTTGCTTTTTTTACATTAAATACATTTTTTAGATTGATTGTGATAAATTCTGACTTTTGGGGTGTGTTTATTGTGATAGCAAAGAAATAGAGATTTACTGTGCAGCCCTTGTTGTGACACATGTTTATTGAGGACCTTATCTTTTTCCAATATGTCACAAGATCATAACATGGGAATGGGATACTTGACAGAATATTATTATTAATATAAATAGTTCTTTAGATACATACCTTGTTGGCAAAAAGGATGACATGTTTTGACAGTACAGGACATTTATCAGGACATATGAAGATTAAATCCTGTGAATCAAAACATTTTTTTTGCCTGTGTAAACCCTTGAAATAAAGCAATGTGGGCTGTTTCAATGAGGTAAAACAATCCAGGATTTCACAAGGAAAGCAAAATAACCAAACAATATAGAAAAAATGGATTTAGCAAGAAACTAGTTATTTTCTTTTTTTTAATCAGTTTTGCCTGCCCCCTTGATTTAAAGCTCTGTGTATCTAATTTTCTGATACTGCCTCACCACTCCTTCAAGCCGTTGCTGACAGTCCCTTAATGTGCTCTACTTTACGCCCACAGTTCTGCTCAAAGTCTACTGCTGTGACCACACCTACACAACAATCCGGGTCCCTGTCGTGGCCTCTGTCAGGGAGGTCATCGGTGCCGTGGCCGACAAGCTGGGGTCAGCCGAGGACCTGCTCCTTGTCCACCTCAGCTCTGCAGGAGGTGAGAGCAGCAGCAGCTACGTGCTAATCAAATGATTGGAGAGGGCATGTAAGGGGAGAGCCAACGTGTGGTATCACAATAATTAATCCCAGAATGATCGAGTGAGTCATTAGCTGTCTTTTGCAGACTGTTAATGGCTGGTGCAGTCGGTGCTGCAGAATGGCCTGACTAACCCCGGCCATGCTTTTCTGCCAACATTGGTGCAAGATGCTGCTACTTACTATACTGTACTGTTTCATACTTGACCTACTTGACCACTTGCTTGGAGTTGATAATCATCTCTGCAAAGTGACCTTTAGCTTTACAAAGAAAAAATAAGGACCACCACTGGTTTTAACTAACCTATTGTTTAATTTAAAAGTGTTATTGCATGGCAGATTTTACAGTATTATAATAGAATGGCATAAGATGTTGTCCATCATCCCTCAAGGTTATTAAAACTGGCATTTACCTATAATGAATGTACATAGTCTAAAACCAAGAAATCCTTAACAAAAATTTGTCTCCATGCATGCTAACAGATCTGTGATCTACAGTCTCACATGTCCAACATCTTCATACATTTCTTTAGCATGCTAACATTTGGTGATTAGCACTAAAGTCAAAGCTGAAGCTGACAAGTATATAACATATATCAAAGAAGTCGTGCAAACGAGTTAACAAGTATAAAATCTGCTTTTATTTCACCTCTGGATAAAAGGTATATTAAACTCTATTACAGCTCACCCTGAGAAACGATGAATATGTGCCACACACTTTATCATAATCAATAAATCACATTCATGACCACATCTCACTGAAATCTTAACTAGCTAATTAATGATGGAGCAAGAAAAAGTCAGGGGGTCATAACAACACCTCAGCCATGAATATCAGTACAAAATCCATCATATATTTAATATACACCTCCAGTATTGAAGGGTCTGATGGAGGGATGGACTTACTGCAACTAATAACCGGCATACAATTTTGGCTTTAAATAGGCAGTATTGTTTTTTTTAAAGGTTTACTTTTAGGCATTTTATGTGTTTAATTAGAGATAAGATAGTGGATAGAGTCAGAAATCGGGGAGAGAGAGAGAGAAGGAATGACATAAAGGACAGGAGCCACAGTTCAGACCCGAACCAGAGCCTCCTGACATGGGGCGCACGCACTAACCACTAGGCTACCAGCGCCCTGGCAGTAAAGTTTTAATGAAGGATCTGAATTTACAAAAAAATGTTATGTGTATGGAGACTTAACATGTTAACACCTTTTAAAAAAATCTGTGTTATGTTTTTGTTTTAAAGAGAAAGTCGTCTTCAAGCACAATGACGTTTCAGTATTCTCCACTGTCAGTGTTAATGGTCGTCTGTTTGCCTGCCGGAGGGATCAGCTGGACTCTTTGGTGGGTTCACACACAAATTCATAAAAACGAGGCTTAATTGCATAACTGTGCATCTTTGACACCTTTTACTAGAAATGTGTAACTCTGAATACATGTTTTTCATATTATTCATGGATAGATTGTCTCCTATACTTTCTAAATCTGGCTAGCTCTTTCTGTGTATTTAAAGAAGAATCTCTACATATCAGTCTTTATGCTCCATTTTAAACAGCTGAACTTCTTTTCTTTTCTATCATTTATTTAGTTTTATTGGTACATGCTTATTTCACTGGAACAAAGTGCCATTGTTGCATCATTTTTTTCACAAGACTTCCAGAAACAGTAGATATCATGATTACTAAAAATAAAACCCATTTTATTTTCTAGACGCCTTTACCTGAGCAGGAGGGTCCCTCTTCAGGGTTTCTGACCAGCTTTGAGTTAATGAGCTCAAAAGATGTGGCCTACCACATGACCTCCTATGACTGGGAGCTTTTTAACTGTGTACATGAGGTAAGACTGTGACACGTCATGTGATGTTCCTTATAAGATGGAAACATTAACATGATTTGTTTTTAATTGATGCTTGATTTAGTTTTATTTTAAAACAATGTCTTTGTCTTTGCTGTCCTACAGCTTGAACTCATCTATCACACAATTGGGAGGCAAAATGTGAAGAAAACCACGGTGAACCTGGATTTGTTCCTAAGGAGGTTTAATGAAATCCAGTTCTGGGTGATCACAGAGATGTGTCTGTGCTCTCAGTTCAGTAAGAGGGTGCAGCTTCTCAAGAAGTTTATCAAGATCGCCGCCCAGTAATAAACCCTTTATTACTCTCTTTCTTCTTATTTTCACTTTTCCATTTCAAATGTTCCTTTTTTTTATTGGCTGTTATAACTTCCATGTTTCACCTGTTCTGTCACAGCTGTAAGGAGTACAAGAACCTGAACGCCTTCTTTGCTATCGTTATGGGACTGAGTAACCCGGCAGTGTGCCGATTGAACCAGACCTGGGAGGTGGGTACATGTCTACCCTGAAAAGTGTTCTTATCCTATGTGGGAATTAAGTTTTGTTGTCTTCTGTTTTCATAGAAACTTCCCAGCAAGTTCAAGAAGTTTTATGGGGAATTTGAAAACCTGATGGTAAGTTAGAATATAAATTTGTGTGTCTTAATCTTTGAGTTGTTTTGTTTATTTTAATCTCGCTGTCAGCTGGTCGAGTAAGGGTTTAGCAGCATCATCATCCTCCGTCTCTGTGACTGTGATGAATTGTTCTAACACGCTGACAGCAGATCTCAAATTAGTGTGATTGTTTCCACAGGACCCGTCCAGAAACCATCGAGTGTACCGACTCACTGTAGCCAAGCTGGATCCTCCCATCATTCCCTTCATGCCACTGCTGATCAAAGGTCAGACTGGTTTACCGGATGGCCGTTCATTTTTAATGTAACACAGTTCTTCTGCTGTGGAATTTATTTTTCATCAAAAAGTACTCTTCCTTTTACTCTTTTTCACCAACCCTTACATCCTCATTTATTTCCCAGATATGACCTTTACTCATGAGGGCAACAAGACGTTTATCGACAATTTGGTCAATTTTGAGAAAATGGTGAGGCTCTTTAAACGGTTGGATTATTATCTTACAAATGGTGAAAATCTTTTTTAAGCCCATCAGATAATAGCTGCTGATTATAGCTCTTTGTCTTCCAGCGGATGATAGCCAACACAGTGAAGATACTCAGATACTGCAGGAGCCAAACATTTGGTAAGTTTGGTTTTTTCTCACTAAAAACAAGGATGAAATATCGAACGGTTTAAAAGAACAGAGATAAAGGAAATTCTACAATTCACTTAGCAGACACTTTTATCCAAAGCAACGTACATCAGAGAGTAAGTACAACACAAGCAAGGATCTAGAAAAAAGGGAACAATGTCAGTAAGAGCAAACGATCAGCTTTGAGTCTGATTGGACACACAGGTGCTGACAGGAAGTGACCAGAGGCAAAGCACAACATTGAGGGCAGTTCTTGAGAGCTCTAATCAGTATAGAAACCATCTTATAAGTCGTCGTTATCAAACAAAAACCATCGTCATTACCATCATCATCATCAATAATATGGAGACCATCATCATTAAGTTAGTAGGTATTCATGAAAGAGCTGGGTCTTTAGCTTTTTCTTAAAGGTGCAGAGGGACTCAGAGGGAAAGAACAGATTTCACTTTGGTATTCTTTGTTGTTTTCTTCTAATTTTAAACCTCTTTATCTGAATCAGGTCCAGACTCCCCTCAAGCGAGCAAAAACCACCCAGGTATACGGACTTACGTGCGTCAGCTCCACGTGATTGACAACCAAAGGACTCTAACTCAGCTGTCTCATGCACTCGAGCCCCGCAGGTCTTGAAACCACTCAGGAAGACAAACGTTACACTCTGATGCTGATCCATGATATCGCGTGTGTGTTTACATTGGGATGAATCGACTCCAGCACAGGCAATCACATGGAGGAGCTAATGACGTGTCAGATAATGAGACATTGTTTTTGACCCTTTCATTACTCATTTGTCATATTTGAACAACAGTAATTGTTGTTGGATGAAGTACCTCTCATATCACTCTGCTGCAGATATCTCCATCCTCACAAAGTCAAAAACAAGAGCAACAATTTAAGAGATTAAAGATCTTTAGTGGGTCTTATTCACAAGATTAACATTTGATGCTTTAAAAGTGCAAACTTCATATTTATGATACTCAGTTGTTTCGTATCTTTTGTATTCAAACAATATTTATACATATTTAAGTGTATGAGATTCTCATGTGTTGTAAACTGTAAACAGATATTTATTTTGACCTGAGCATGCTAAGAGTTGTTCTGATTATTTTATTCATGTGAGCACATTCTCTTTGAAGTCTGGGATACAGTAAATGACCAAAAAAACCTTTTCTGTGCTGTAAATATTAAATATTTTAGATGTTTTTGTGTGTGCTGTCATTATTGTTTAGTCATTTCTTCGATGGTAGAATTTTGCATTTTCTTGAAGTTTTTGCAATCACAAACATTTTGTAGTTTGTCGTTATGGGACTGTTTTGAGGACCACACAATTGAACATTTCAATTGTTAAATGGTAAATGGACTTGAGCTTATATAGTGCTTTTCTAGTCTTTCGACGACTCAAAGTGCTTTTACACCGCAGGTCACAACCACCCATTCACACACTGATGGTAGTTATTGCTATGTAGTATCATCCATCAGAAGTAACTAATCCGATTCATACACAATTGACTTAAGTGGTTTCAAATCTTTTAAGTAAAACACTGTCTGATTTGTAAACATCCGTTCATTAGCAACAATTCCATACTAGACCAGGCTGTTTACCTGATGGAGGTCAAGTTACAGAAATGTTGCTGATAACTGTGCTGGAGTTTCACTTGAAAAATTTAAAGGACAATTTACCATCCTACTCACCCGTCTTATGAAATAATGGTATGTAAGTATTTTACTAAGTTGACTTGAATACAACAAAAAGTGAAATATTTAAAGTGAGAGTGAAAAAGTGTTGATTTCTAAGTACAGACTACACAACTTTATGAAAGGGTCTGTGATTAGTAGAACCTCCTATTATATACATATAAATGTGTGTGTGTGTGTGTGTGTGTGTGTGTGTGTGTGTTATATGCAAAATAACAAAAAGGTATGAAAAAAACAATCTTTTTTTAATCAATATTTTCCCCTTTTTTATAAACAAAATTAAAACATACATTAATGCATCATAGCGCCTTTAGATTTGACGAAAACAATAACATTTGGTCGTCTTCCTCCATGTAGAATATGTGGCTGATCTGTAGTATTGGGTTGTGTAAGTCGATTGTTCCTGTCCAGTGGCCAGGGAGTGTATTTCCTATAGCTATACAATCTTTATAATGTATATTAATCAATAAATGTGGCTGTCAGGCAGAAAGAGGTAAGTAAAATGTGCAATATTTAACTTTGAGCTATTTTATAAATTACTTAAGATATCAAAAGGGCACCGTAGTTCAGTACTTACACATTTTAATAGTTTTCCTCTTTATAATATGAAAATTAGATTTTAAAAGAAAAGACAAAGCAGTTCAACTTTCCAATGCAACAATTCTAAATGTGGACCTCGACTGGCCCGCGGACCTCACACGGAGCCCCACTGTCCCAGGACAATTGGAGGCTCTATGCATTGTGTTTAATGCAGCAGGGGGCGCTGTTGTCATCAGGATGGTGACTGGCAAACAGTCCGATCCAGCCTCATGTTGTCTGCTGCTGCTTGAAGAAGTTGTGCAACCAGTTTAACCACCACCGGAGTTGGTGAGAGTAGAGAAATACTTAAACGTCACATGAGATTTCCCGGAACTCTGACTTTCTGCGGTATTTCTTACTGATAGTTTAATTTTGGTGTAACGAGTAAAGTCCTGCACCGACGACGAGCTGGACTGAAACCGGAAACTTCACACCTAATGTCGGTATGTATGTTTATCACGCCTAGCGAGTAAAAGTGAGATATAATTCACATGGAATCTTACTGACATCCATGTGAATGCATTTAGTTCACATTATGGTGGACAATACAACGATAGTGCACATAGTTATGCGTGTTAAATCGTTGTTGATAAATGGCTGTTTGTTGTCATACATTGCGTAAAAAAAATTCTGCTTAATTAGTGGCTTTTGTACAGACATAATAACACAAATAGTCGTTTAACTTCGCGCTATTTTTACTCTTTATTGTTCTACAACAACTTAAGCCCTTCAGTTATACTGCACAAGCAAAACCAATATGTCGTGTACCATGTACGAGAGCATTAATGACTACAATGTTACATAGTAACATCTGGATAAGTAAATATTACTATGCTGCTGCTATTTTTCATTTAGACTCTAGTGGTTTAGCTACCTGTGTTTTGGCTACCTGTAGTTTTACATGTGACTATCAGCCACAATGGTTGCAGTGCTTACAGCAGTGTATTTAGTGAGAATTGGCAGGAGGCAGTGCAGAAGTGCCACCATATCCCAGTAACCCCAGTCTCTGGAGTGGATGGACAATCTGTGGGCTGGTCCCCTGAGCAGATTGCTGTGAGGCTATGTATAGCATGAATACAAGTAAATATGCAGAGGCAGTGGCACCCCTTTGTGACAATGGAGGCACTTCTCTCTGGGAGATACAGCAATCCCAACCAAGGCCCAGGTAACAGCCTTTTAAAAGCCGTAATTGCTCGGGCTATAAATGGAAACCTATGAACAATAAATGAGCAACAATTTCCTGTAATGAGGGAATTATTTCTTTTACAAGATGCTTTTATGCTGTTACTGACAAATAAAAGGATGTGATCATCAATCTGTGTGCACTCTAAGCTTGGAGTCATTGTGCTTCTAACCCTGGCTCCCCAACACAGGCATGGGGAGCTTATTTTTTTAAAATAATGAATTCAATTCAATTCAATCAATTCAATTCAATTCAATTTATTTGTATAGCGTCAACTCATAACAAGTGTTATCTCAAGACACTACAAAAAGCAGGTAAAAGACCTTACTCATTGTTATGTTACAAAAAGCAGGTAAAAGACCTTACTTATTGTTATGTTACAAAGACCCGGCCTATCCATCATGAGCACTTTAGCAAAGCAGCAAAAGTAAAAAAATAATGAAGAGAATATTAGGTCTTCTATTTCCTTTTTAGTAGTCTCTGGTTGTGGCCTTTTAGATTCGTGGACACAGTAGACCGTGCAAGAATAGTTCACAACTTTGGCTGCATGATCACAGCATACCAGGCATGCCATCTTTCTTATACAAGCACGGCCTGGATCCTGAGCTCACTGCTTATTACACCGAGGATGAGGAGGAGTGTGTGTGCTCAGAGAAAGACACAGTAAATCCCAGAGCCAAAACAAGAGTTATGACACTGATACACTAAATACAGAATGAGCCTTTTCTGCATCATGTTAGAGGTTCATGACACTCTGAATAGAATAGAATAGAATAGATGTTTATTGCCATTGCCACCAAAAGTATAGTAGATCAGTCTGTAGGGACTTGGGTTGGGAATCAGAGGGTAGCCGGTTCACCCCAAAAACTGCTCTGGAGCGCTTGCTGTGGGCAGCCCCCTCACCTCTCCATTAGTGCATGTCCATAAGATCCTGATTGTTCATGTGTGTGTATTTTGTATGTGTGTAGCATGTTCAAAACTGAATTTCCCCTTACAGGATTAATAAAGTATAAATTATTATTAATTATTACAGGACAGTACAGGTACCTTGGAATTCTTGTGCGTTTCTCCCTGAGTCAGCTTCTACAAAAAAGTTAAAATGATATATAAAATAGAATAGCATTATTAGAAAAAAAAGTAGTAGTAACAGCTAAGTAAATTAAAATAAACTGTACAGAAGCTATACATTGTATTAAAGCAAAGATATAATACAAACAATAACAAAGGGGAACAATGTACAATGAAATGAAAATATAAATATGTTTTCTTGTCTCTACAGTTAGTTTCAGAGGAATGCACAGGAGCAATATGTTTGTTTTACCATAGAAGACTTTGTTGAGTGAACCAGACTTCCTTCCTTCCCTGTGAACCCCCCCCCCCCAGAAGCTGAGCTGGTGCTGAGTGTCATTATGAGATGTCGTCTCCAAGCCCCTCTTTCGTACAAATCAGGTTCGATGACATCCACTTCTACGAGAACTGTGGCGGCGGCAGCTTCGGAAGTGTCTACCGAGCCAGGTGGATCTCCAAGGACAAAGAGGTGGCTGTGAAGAAATTGCTCAAGATCGAAAACGAGGTAGGAGAGTCATAATTGCCACAGCTTTTTCCTATACTTTTTAATTATTAGTGTAGTAATCATTTAAATTGCTATACTATTTTAGTGGGATGTGGTGACTTCTGTATCCATCATTCATGGTCATTACGCTCCCCCCACTCTGAGAAACGTGCTGCAAAAAGAAACAATATTGCTAAATGAAAGAATGTATTCAGCTCCAATTATAGTCGGGACTTTTCTTGACACCTCTTTGAAAAGCTCAGGCTCGTCGTCTTTCAGACAAAAAAAACAATTATCTTTGAAATCTTTTCAGGGGAAATTGTAAAACATTTGTTGGCCTGTGATAAGATGTTCAAGGTATTCATCGTTTCTTTTTATGATATTCAGATACTCAGACTTTCATTCAAATGTGCTCAAGTGTTGGAGAGATGATTGTTCTCTGCAAACAATAATGTGATCCTTTCACAGCCAACACATTGTTCTTTTAATTATAGTGTTTGGCGACAATTAAATGAATTGGCTATGTCAGGTTTCCATTCATTCAAGCAGTAATCTAACAATGATTCCTCTGGACCAGTATGTGATAGTATTCTGTCCATTTCTTATGTTTATATGTACTTCATTTAGTTTAGATATGCTAGCATCAGGGAAGGTAATGTTTGTCTTGTCACAACTTTGGTCTGAAATATCTCATCAACACGTTCATAGATTGCCATAATATGTTATACAACCATCCCAAGAAGATGTATCTCACACACTTTGATGACCCCTTTAACTTTTCCTCTAGCACCACAATCAAGTTGGCCTTAAAGTTAATTAATAAAAGTCTCAACAACATTTGAATAGTCTGTCAGGATATTTGAGTTATTCATGAGGATGAATGTTTATGTCCTCCATGTAAACAACTTTTCCTCTCAGTGGATGAATTCTTCTGTCTTTGGTGATCTTCAGACTCTACCACTAACTCACCTAGATTAGATATACTTTACTGCTCTGGGGGGGAATTAGCCTTGAACCAAAGTGGAGAGAAAACACAGCTCAGGTCAACTTACAGCATAACACAAGACAGGACATCCACAAAAATACAACGATTGCTCTTTCTCTTAAGGGCTTTATATGTGTTTTTTTGATCCAGCAGATGTCGCCCTTGAGCACCAGCATGAAACCAAAACAACTTGCGCTGCATTGTTGTGTTAGCATGCTAATGCTAGCGATCTTTACTATGCTCGTATCTTCACACTGCATGTAAATTTACCTGAAATGAGCGTGATCTAGAAACACAGTTAAGCAGTGAGTACAGTATGTTATTCTTCTTTTCTCTAGTCCCTCAATTAAACAACTTTTATACATGAGGGGAGGAGTCAGCCGGCCGTCCAGGCAATGTAAACAAACTGAAGATAGGACTCTGAAAACTCTGAAAGCATCACAGACAGTGGGACTCGGGTGTTACACCCATTGTAAACAGTCATGACTCACAGAGTTATTTTCAGAGGAGATACTTGATTTCTATTACATTTAAGTGTGAAAAATCACAGATAAAGCCTTCGCTCTGCAGCATCTGCCCGAAGGTCTCATTACATTTCATATTCAGGGAACAGAATATGTGAGGGGTCACTTTTGTTTTTTCCTTGGAGGTTGACATCAGGTTTATTTTTTAATGTCTGGACATTTATTGGAAATATTTCCTTGAAATTTAGTACAGGCATCCATGTCTTTGTCATGACAGAAGTCCCTTTACTGTCAATCTAGCTCCTCCACCAGATCCAACATGGTAAAGGGTTTATTAAATAACTAATGACTTGTTCCTGTCAGCCTCAGGTGAACTTTGTGTTTAGTTTAGTTCTATACCAACTGCGAATGAACCAAACTCAATACTTTAAAACAGTATACCTCTTAGCACTAGCATGCATATTTGTATATATTATATCTTTGTATATTCAAATATTTATTTTTTTAATTTTACATTATATTCTATATTACTGTATTTATGTGTATTAGTAATTTGAATGTTTATTGCATGGCCTTGCGGAACAGTCTTTACATTTCACTGCACATCTGTATGAGCATGTGACAAATAAAATCTTGAATCTTGAATCTTGCTAGCATTTTGACTGTAACTTGATATCTGCCAGCACGGTTGTACACTCTGTTTTTTCTCTGAAGCATCTTGTGAAACTATTTTCTTTTATAGTGTATTTATAGTGTAGTCCATTTTCACAAAGACATTTTCATGATGTTCTCTCCCTGTGTGTTCTTTGCTCAGGCAGAAATCCTCAGTGTCCTCAGCCACCGTAACATCATCCAGTTTTATGGCGCCGTTGTTGAAGCTCCCAACTATGGCATTGTCACTGGTAAGAGATCTTTTTTAAAAATCAGAAGCCTTCATGTTGTCAGTGTCACATTTACAGTACGTCTATATAACAATCAGTGTCCTACAGAATTCCTGGTCTACACTGTCAGAGTAAAGTGCAGAGTCTGTTTTCAGCAGGTTCAGTTTGCTCATCACTGAATGGTGCAGAGGTTTCTATGGAAGCATTCGTGAATGCAAGAGTGTTCAGGAACATACAGTAGCTGTGTGCCCCTTTTTTTGTGTCGAGGTGACTGGGAAAAATAAAGCTGATGAAAAAAGGGGCCCTCTGTCTGTGCACACACTTTAACAGGGCAGTGGGTTGTAATGGGTTTCATACCTCTCCTCTGCTCGTGGATTTTGTGATTTTTTTTTGATAAAACTGTAACAGCATTGATCTCCCCTCAGTTAATCAGATTGTTAGGTCACTCTTTTAAGCTTCAGTTTCTTAATCTGTTTTCTTTAAGTTTTGCTAATTTAAATACAAGTATTGTGAGGTTTTTCTTTGACTCACATGCTAAACCCTAAACTGATGATACCCCAAATCACAGATAACTGATCATTGACTACAAAGTAAGTATTTTATACACATTACATTTAAGATATCAGAAAATGGTCCACAAATTGCTACGACAGTTTCCCAGAAACAAATGTGACCTCCTTAGATTACTTATTGAGTTCAACAAACAGCTAACAATTTAAATATTTACAATTGACAAAAAAATAAACCAGAAAGTCATCACATTTAAGGGCCAGGGACAGAACATCTTAGAGAAATGTGCTTAATAAATGCTTTTAAACAATTAGTTTTCCAAATTTTGACGATCAATACATAGGACTATTCAATGTATTATAATAAATTAAATTGCATTTTCAGGAATAAAGACAACTCCCACATCTGAACAGCTGCTTTTATTCATACAGAAGCTTAAAGTGTGCAAAGCAGTTCAGTACCAACAGCTCTGTGTAAATGTAAATAGTAGGATGTGTCATATGCTGTTAACTTGTTTAGCCACTCTACATCAAAGAGTGAACGTTAGAGTCTGTAAGGGTGGACCCAGAAACACCTCTTCTGTTTAGAGCTGTTATTTAAATGTGTATGACAGAACTGGGATCTGCTCTAAGTTTGGGAAATCTCAGGTGATCTAGTTATGTGACCTTGATTTTTATTTCTTCCAACCGTCCAGCAGTGTTGTTTCAAAATACTGACAGAATTATTAACACTTTCAAAAACTTTGTCTAAACGAGAACTGGATGTCATCAGATATTAGTCATAGACTAGATTTTCTTTTTCGAAGAAATGTGACTTCTTATCTCTCATCTTTCTTTCAAACACGATTAGATATGTTCTTCATGTTACCTCTAGAAGAGGAAAGGTTTTTGAAAAAGCACTTAGAGAGTGTGGTTCTGCTTTTTGTTTATTTGCCTCCACAGAGCTATGAACCTGAACCTCTTCTGCAGTCGTTAAACTGTACTGCTTTTGAAAATGCCTCCTATAAAACAAGGTTTATTGTGTCAGCTGGAAGACACAGTATCAGATCTTAAAATTAAACTTTCAGAAATATAGCAAGCAGGTTGTGTTGTTTGTTTACTGCTACCAAGTCACTTTATATTATCATCTTAGTTTCCTGGATTGGTTGATTGAGAATGGGGTTAATGAATGTTATTAAGTGAGTGTTTCTTGAATGTAACTGCTCAAATTATGAACCTGCTGTCTCTTCAAATAACAGACCTGTCAGACTGGAGTAGGTCAATCCTATCTTTCATGATGGGAAATGTGATATACAGCTACTGTTAATATAACCTCACAAATGAACAATACAACAATAGAACAGCTGTAAAGGGGCTAAAACTGTGAACATACAGAAAAACAGGAAGCATTTTAAAGGTTTGAGTCTCTTACTTTAGTGTTTCTCCTTTGATTGGATGAAATGTTACAAACAAAAAATGTGTTTTAAAAAAAAAAAGGAGAAACATGAAAACTGTCTTTCAGTTCGCATGAAGATCCACATTACAATTTGTTGTAATGTAAAAGAGAAAATACCTCTTTCTTCAGACCAAAAAGAAAACCATTGTGTGTTGCAGATTATTCAGTATTGATTAAAAACAGGAAATAAAAACTGTAGGTAAAGTGTGTTGTCCCTAACATGAGGGGGATCGATCTGTCTCCACAACAACTAAAACATTATTTTATTAATAAATTGAGAAAGAGATTGACCTTTAATACTCGATGGGTTTGGTGCCTCTCCTCAAATTTTGCATTGCAGTATAATGAAAATATCGTACAATATGAAACTGTAATAAAATTGGGTAACTGTTGCCTCTAGAAAGCTGCCCCTCCTCTTCACCTGCTTTTTTAAATGAAAACATATAACTTTACTCATATTGCCTAACATGTGACTCTTAACAGATTATGGATTCAGAGATTATATATTTGTATAGTTTCTTACTGTGAATGAGCCATCCCCAATTGGGAAATTTTGTCATTTTTTTGTCCGTATGAAAGAGGAAAAGAGTTTTTTGAGTGGAAGACTTTTCATGTGAAGTTTGAGCATTGGTAAAGAGAACTGGAGATAAATTAACAGAAATCATAAACTGAAGAGATCAGTGAAAACATCTGTGGGTCACCAAATCTGCGGTTTCAAAATGTGACTCACAGATTTAAATAATGGAGTAAAACTTACAGCACAGGACACCTTAACAGTCTCCGCAGTTTTTGCAGCTATGGGGGGGGGGGGGGGGGGGGTAAGGTTTTGTTGTCAAGGAGCATGTTGGTGTCTCCATTTATCAAAGCAGACTAATTAAAAGCAGATACAGGAAAGAAGTTTATGAGCATCCTGACCGTGTCCACATTCATCAGCTCGGTTATAAATTTCCTCCGTCTGTTGACATAAAGCGTCAGGCTGGACAGTTTGTCTTCTCGATTTGAGAGACCTGTAAGTCTCTAGTCACTTGTATGAGTTCAACACTGTCTGCTTTCATCCTGTTCACACCTCTTAGATACACTTATAAGGTGGCCTTATGTTTCACACAAGCTGATTTAAAGTCTTCTCTGACTTCACACAAATTCCCTTTGAAGATGTGGAAGATACTGAGGAGAAAGTGCAGAAGCACAGGTATTCATAATATCCATGGAGTTTGGTTAAAGGGATGAAGTGCAGGAGCAGACATGTCTTTACTTCATCAGTAAGTTAGTAGCTGTTATTTAAGATACAAGTCTGTACATCTGCTGTCAGAAAGCTCAATGATAACAAAACCTCATCAATTTGTGTATTTTATGATCGTTAATTAGACACCTGCCTTGGCGCCGATGCATGTTTACATTGGTGTGTTGGAACATGATTGTGTAATTATGCACAAACAGAGGGTTTCCTGCTGTTTTGGCAGGTATGTTTAATGCTATTTAAGCTTTCGATTCATGCCTCACCACACAGACTCCTTACTGCTCTTACTTTCTTTGAAGCTTTATTTCTTACAGATGGTTTTGAGGTTATATTGCAAAAGGCTAAATGTTTTTTCCAGACCCATAAAGAGGTATAGGAGTTTAAAAGCTTTTTGAAAAGCGAGCATGAAGTCTATTCCTTTGTGTTTCATTTGAGATAGATTTGATAACATGTTGGCTCCTGGACTCCCCACAGTGTCCAGTTACACTGTGATAAATGGAGCTCATCCAAAGCGACAGTGACAGGAGCAATCTGTAAACGCCATCAGCTGCCTTCCAGGATATGTCTGGCAGAATTTCAACTTTCAATTGTTTTCACATAATGCTCTCACATACTGCGCTCATACGTGCAATGTAACATCTCAGGAGGACAGTTTTGTCACTGTAAGACATTTGACTGTCACAATCTGTCACTCAACATTATACATGGTCAGATATAATCAGAGCTGTATGATTAGCTGTGCAGCGATGAGAGTGAGTGATGGGGATGATAAGCATATTATTATACAATATTTTATAAAAGAATCACTAATATAATAGTCTGGCTTATAGAATGTATGGTACTGTATGTACTCATTCAATGTAGACCCAAGGACTGTTTAGCATGGGTGGATGAGGAGGGTGTTGTGATGTATTTGGGGAGGGGGTGTGACTATTCTATAGTAAGTCATAACAGTTGTTATTATATACATAAATAGAACATTTTAATAACATTTTATTGGGTAAAAAAATGATACAGTCAAATGTAATCACTTTTCTCCACAGAGTATGCGAGTGGTGGGTCGTTGTACGATTACCTCTCCAGCGATGAGAGTGAGGAAATGGACATGGGGCAGATCATGACATGGGCTGCAGAGATGGCCAGAGGTAAATGTGATCATTTATTTCCATGATTATTTTTGTTAAATAACAGTTTAATGGTTATGCCTGTCAATAACCTTTTTTTTTTTGCATTGTTGAACTGATTGAAGACAATTATTTGTGCAGAGAAAAGTCATTGAAAGGGATCTTTCTCTGTCCTGTTAAAAGGTTAATACGTGGTTATGAATGATGATTAAAATTCACTAAAAAGTTAACTTCTCTCAGCATTGCTTATATATTTACAATCAACTGCGGCAAATAATTGAAGAACTGAATTTGAGGACTGGGAGCTGAGGAACGAGACCTGTATTTGTGTTAAGATGATCAGAGTTAACAAACCTTTAGCCACAAAACCTAGTAAAACCAATTTGTTTTAAATTTGAACACATCATTTTATGTGAAACAGTACTCTGCTGGTACATCTTATTCTAAATCCATGCTGGAGGCCTTGTGTCTTTCTTTGCTGCAGTTATTGATGTTGATGCTGATAACCTTTTTTTGTGCTCTTTAGTAGAGCTTTAGTGCGTGCGGGCAGCGTATGTGTTCTTTTACATGAAATGAAAACGTCCAAGAGTCGAGAACTTCAGTGTTGTTGAGGTCATTAGTAGATTCATGAAACGTTTTAGCTCAAAGCTGCTCAATTCCTCCTCAGTTCATGAAAGATTGTGAAATGTTATTTTTTTCACGTCATTAATCAATTTTATACACCGAAACATTTCCAGTGATCTTCCTCTAACAATCCTCTCTTTTTTACATTTAGGAATGCACTATTTACATTCAGAGGCTCCTGTTAAGGTCATCCACAGAGACCTAAAGTCCAGGAATGGTAATGGATTTCATCTCTACCACTTCTTATTCAGATATATATTGTGCATATTGTTTCATGTACATACATACATGTGGCTTATTGTTTGGACTAAAAACATCAACCGCTTTTTTTCTCTTTCAGTCGTTTTGGCAGCGGACAAAGTTCTCAAGGCAAGTTTGAAATAAGCCTGAAGAATGTTTTTGTTGCTGCACATTGTGTACACTCTGTTGTTGTGTTGAGTTAGTTGAAAATATGGACTTTGATTTCACATTTTGAAAGAAGCATGAGTATTACACAGTGGCATAACATTTACCTACAGTACATGGACACAAGAGGGCAGTGACTGTCTTAGCATGTGTGAGAAACCAATGACAGTGTTTCCAGTGGGCCTTACTTTTAAAAAAAAGGTTTGATGAACGTTGTTTAAAATATACTGTAAACTTTATTTGTACAATGGAAAAGCATTCAGTAACATACTGTACATATGTAAGTGCATTGTTCTAAGGAGGGTGGATATAGATCCTAATATCAGTCTTTTGATTCTGTTTCTATGATGTTGTCATTTCTATAGATCTGTGATTTTGGGGCATCCAAGTTCCTGACCCACACAACACACATGTCCTTAGTGGGCACATTTCCCTGGATGGCTCCGGAGGTGATCCAGAGCCTGCCTGTTTCTGAGACATGTGACACTTTCTCCTACGGTGTGGTGAGTGACAAAAAAGAAGAGAGCGGAAAGAAATATTTTCATAACTGTGATGCAGTTTCAGAGTCTGCAGGTCATTTTTTTGGCACACATGACGTTTTTTATTCTATGAACAAAATTGAGTCAAGGAGAGTTGTCTTTATTGTTTGAAATAAGAGCATTGCTTCGTGTTAAGACCTGGTCAGCGACCCCCCTGTATTTACCAGAGTTACAATAGCTTTGGAGTCTTTTGAGGAATCACAGGATGAAGGCTGCATAGAGGCAAAGGTCATTCACTTTTGAGCAAAGAAGAAGAACAGAAATTTGTCTCCGCAAAAAAAAATTGCATTTGGCTTCATGACATGATCCAGAATGAATACAAAGGCTTACAGGTTATTTGAGTCCTCCAAGTGTACACACCAACCTAATACCAATACTACTGACAATAAAGTTTAGTAATTACTATAGTGTCTGTGAAAAACAATTATTATGTAATCTTTGAAAAATCAGCAATAAACGAAAAAACATGGAGAAAAAAGATAAGGGGACAATAACGATAAAAATGTAATTTAGTTGTGAAGACTAATGTGATTTATTACAAGTAAATGGTACAATGTAGTGTATGATATGAGAGCATGAACAGCTGCCTGCCTCTCCTCCTGGAAGTCATTCATGCTGTTGCACTTGGTTGTTCATACAGTATTAACAGTGACAGACAAACTTGTGTCAAGTATGAAAAGAGAGCTCAAAGAGAGAAGTTTAGATCCCACAGCTGGATAATTACTGCACAAGTTGGTTTGAATGGCAGATTGTCAATTTGTAGGGTTAAAGAACTAGTCGTACATAGCCCCCTCCCTTTCTAGTATGACATCATCAATTTATAGATGAGCCGCTTTTTGACAGTCAGACAAACTCTTGTGATTGTGATTATCTTCAGTCTTAACATGAAAAAGTGACTTTAAGCTTGTTTGCTAAAAACTTTTAAGTCAGACTTCAGGTCACAATTTAAGACAATAACAAAAAATCTTTTTTGATTTCTTTAATTCATTTTTTAAATTAGTTGACAGCAAAAGAGAGACTTCAAGAAAAAAACCTGTTTATTTAAGACTTTTTGTTTTCAAGGGCAATACTTGACTTTTTAGATTTTGCTTTTGAAACTTAAGAGTTTAAAATTGTATTCAAAATATGTCGTTAAAATGTTCTTTCCAGCTCAGTAAAACAGCTGTCAGTTAACCAGTGCCTCTGATATTTCCATTTCTGCATTGGTTTTTCTGATAGATGGACAACAGCTTAGAGTTTGATCTTTACAGAAAATCAGCATTTTAGAAACCTGCTATCTCTTTTTACTCTTAAAACTTTTGTGATGTTTTTAATCCAGACAAGAAATATTTCAACCAATAGCAATCAAGCCTATTTTGCTTAAACAGTCCTTGTCCTATCATACTAGAGTAAATCACTAACACAAAATTACAATCAAATATCACACATTTCTTATGTATGTAAAGGTTGAAAAGTGAACAGTCAGTGTTCATGGCTGCAAGCGAGTGCTTTTTCTGTTACTTTTCTAAAGAGTAAAATACATACATGAACAAAGCGGCAGCTGTGCAGAAATACCATGCTATGTAAACTATGATACACATGGTACAAACACACTTTAGGTGTACAATAACTCTCCTCTTCCTTTTCATGATCTTATTTTCTGTGATGCCTTCGATAAGCTGAATGAGCCTTAATTATCAAGGTGCTACTGTTTTTATACTTCAGAAATCATTGCATCCTTAAAACTGTCATTGCAAATCTAAAACGAGTCTTTTTGTCTACTTTGTATTTTACATTTAGTTGACAAATAAGAGAGATAATTGTTCATAATGTAATTTGTATTTGAATGAACATGCTATGTGACAGATAAAAGAAGCTCACCTGCTCTGCAGTGTTTATGTGTTCACAGATTTTGCAGTAGATTCAAAGACGTTGTGTGGGTTGACAGAGTATGCACATACATGTTATAATTGAACAGTATGTGTTTCGTTTGTTTACTGACCGTGGCTCTTGACTTCTGTGACAGGTGCTGTGGGAAATGCTAACCCGTGAGATACCTTTCAAAGGCCTGGAAGGTTTACAAGTGGCCTGGCTCGTGGTGGAAAAAAATGAGGTACTCTCGTGAAATGAATGTGTCTGGTTAATGTTGACTCTTGGAGCTAGGGAATCTCTTTTGTGCAGATAAACACATTTTGATACTGAATATATATTTATGGGTATTGTGAAATTGATGTATTTCTGGAATGGTTGAAACTGCATATTTATGTCATTCCTCAATATTCAAATCTCATCTTTCCACCTGGGGTCATACGTGTGAAATATCTTGTTAAGCAAATAGTTCATTTGAGGATATACTGATGTTCATTTTCTTCTAGAGAGTTGGGTGATAATAAGAGGAATATAACAAAAATAAGAGTTATGCGCCCAGTCAGACGATTATTTTGCACACAAACATACAGGCACATTACATACAGTCTGAACATGGTCTGCATGTACATTGCTGGCTAGCTTAGAGCTAACATCTGTACAGTTTGAAACCGTTTGTTTATTTACCGATTGAGCAAATAAGACTGCCCAGATGCTCCAGCAGTCAAAAGATGAACATTTTTGTCTCACTTTATGTTGTACCCCCTAAAGCTAACCAAATAACAATCTTATTTGTTCCATATATACAAAGAAAAAACAAGTGTAAAAAAGCGTTAAGATGGGGTTTCGCAGGTGGTTGATTTTGGTTCTATTTGTTGGTTAGGGACAGTGAAGTCCTGGAGTTTTGTAATAACAGTGAGGTTGACTTACAACTTGTGTAGGGTCAAGTGTCCAACTATCAATTCCTCCCTTTTTCCAGTCCTTATACTCGGCTAGGCTAACTAACTTCTGGCTTTAGCTCCACATTTATGACATAAAGTGTTTGTATGACAGTGTTTCCCCCCCCCCCCCCGAAGGTCAAGTAAAAAAAAAAAAAAAAGATTTATTTTTGGGCTTTTTGTGCCTTTATTGTAGGGATAGGATAGTGGATAGAGTCGGAAATCAGGGAAAGAAGTCATTTAAGGATACCTTTCCGATAGAAAAGATTTAATGACAGCTGTCATTAAAAGTACACATGAACACCAAGATTCCTTCAAGTGTTTGTGCGGTGTGTCGGCGTGTCGGCATGTCGGCTTGTCCCCACCCCCCCAACGCTGTAAACCTATGGGAAACACTGGTGTAATATTGGCATCTATCATCTTATTTCACTCTTGATTACGAAAGCAGAATCAATATTGAAAAACTTTTCGTTTAAATGAGCTCTTCTTCTGTTTGATTTAGCACATTAACCTGCAGCTCAAACTACAACTTCATGTGTGTGTTTCAGAGGTTAACTATCCCGAGTGGCTGTCCTGCCAGCTTCGCTGAACTCATGAGGAACTGCTGGGCAACAGAGCCAAAAGTGAGTGATTTGCTGGTATTCATTAGTATGCAAATAACCAACAAATGTATGGTTTCCTTTGAATCTCATACAGCGCTGATGTTTGCATGTTGATTTAGGGAAGGCCAATGTTCAAGGAGATCCTCTCCACTTTGGAGTCCATGTCTAACGACAGCCAACTTCCTCAACAGTGCAACTCTTTTCTTCACAACAAGGCTGAATGGAGGTAATGAGATCAGCGCAGTAAATGTATTTATTACTGTTTTTTTCACCAATATAGTGCCTCTGCCTAAGGAAATGTGCAACTGTTTTTGAAGAATGATGTGGAAATGTAGCTGACGGGGGCCGAGAAACACAAAAAAAGACTTGAGATTGTGCATATAGATCTTTAATAATTACACTGATAGCTACATAAAGGCATAAAAACCTCCAAAGAATCATCCATCTGGATATACTTCCTCTCTTTACCCATAAGGCCCTAAAAATAATCACCATCTTTTTCAAGTAGAAGTGCTTAATTGGGTTGTATGAGCAGCTGGAGGTTTGGTGATGTTCAGCACAGCCTGAGTCTCAGCTGTTACTTTATTCTCTGTCTGCATCTCAGCGGGGCTCGTCTGTGCTCTGAGCTTTTCCCTCAGAAGTTATGCTGGTGGCATCATGTCCAGGCAGCCGTCTGCAGGTGGAGCAGGTTGGATCTATTCTCACTGCTGGAAAACAGACATTGAGAATGTTAAACACAGAGAGACACATGTAGCTCAGGTTTGTTTTAACTACAGATTAAGCTGGTTGTTATTAGAAGTAGATGCTTCTGGATGATCAGAGCAGGAAGAAGCTTCACTTAAAAGGAACCGAAGCACAATCTCAACGAGTGCTTAGTGCTGTCCCACTGACAAATTGTCAAGAGCATGCGGGCTCTGATACAGATTTTGAAACGCCAAATGACGCACTTTCCTTGAGTCCACATTTCTGCAAACTTTCTTATGGAACCTACCCAGAGTTCATTGCAAACTTGTTGGCATGAAGGACCTGATCGTGCAGCCCACTACTAAATTAAAAAAAAGTCTAAAAATCAGTCTATTGAACTAGTATTCAATATGGCCCATTTTTTATGCCATCCAAGTCCTCACAGACTCACACACTGCACGCCATGATATCAAGGTCCGTGAGGGTTCAGTGTCAGGTTATAGGTTTGAGATTGTAATTTGGCCAGAGACATGTGCTTATAGATAGATTTAGTATAATTGAAAAATTCAAGAGAAACAATATCTAGCTATCTATCTATATAACAATATCTATCTAGTTTAAGGGGTGACTGTTAGCTTGTTTGAGAGTGATAGCAGCCATATTAGCTACACAGCTTCCATTTAACTAAATAGGGATGTCTTAATCTGCTTGTGTTGTGACACATATAAACTATAGCATCATCTCTGCAGCACTACAGGATAGTTTTTAAAAGATCTGGAAATATTTATAGAAAATCTGAATTTGTTTGCTAGCTAGCATAGGAGAAGATGTAAGGCTATACTTGGACACAGCGGTGCTGAGACCCAAAAGCTAACATCAGCATACTAACATGATGATGCTTAGCATGTATAATGTTTACCATGTTAACTTTTTAATTACATGTCAATATGCTAAATGGTAGCATGCTAAAAGCCACTCGTGTGCATTAAACTGATGTTAGTGTGTTGTTGTTATTTTGTTGCAAACCAACCTAAGTAATACAAAATTAACGTTTGATGTGTGACTGGAAACTGAGTCACATTTTGTTTTAATATACAATTTTAAACTTAACAGGCGTCTAGTTGCTAATCTAGAAACTTTCTTGCTTTAAAAAAAACCAACTCACTAGGGGCCCAGATGGCCTAGTGGTTAGGTCGTGCCCAATGTACAGAGGCTATAGTTTTCCAAGCGGGCGGCCTGCGTTGAAGTTTGACTTGTGGTTCCTTTCCTACATGTCATTCACAGCTCTCTCCCGATTTCCTACTCTATCCACTGTCCTATCCAATAAGGGCAAAAAGCCCCAAAACAAATCTTAAACAAATAAAACTCACTAAACAATTCTAAAAACTAGGCAGGCAACAGAACAAATTATTCAGGAAGTTGAGCAAGACGGAAACTTGTTTGGTGTTAGGAAATGTCAGGGTGGGGTTACTTGAGGACCAGGAGAAGTAAGAAAGGCCTTTCCTGTCTGTGTTTCATGTTTGTGTTGGTCTGAAGCACAGCGTGGAATTTTCCGGCATAATGTGCAGCCCCACCTGCTGAGCAAAACAAACGTCCCCAGCGTGAAGTGAACATGAGACATTGTCCTGTCCTTGGCATTCAGAGCTTCAGAAGCAGGCTGATCACCTTCTGACTTTAAAACAACACAGAGTTGTTTACTGAAAAGTTTCAGTTTATTACTCAATTTAAGTATTCACCACTGCTATCTGTTTTGGTACTCTTACTGTGATACATCTCTCTGTTTTTTACACGGGGTGATTCAAAGGATAAGGCTGGTTTTATTAAATATTTTCTTCTAATTGTTAACAAATCCCATAGAAAATACAGAAACTTAAGTTGAATTATGTTTAGAATTGGAAATCTTTTCAGTGATGCTAAATATTTACATTTTCGTTATCATTCCATTGAATCATGCAGTCACAAAAACATTAGGTCTTGGGTTTGAAGTCTGACAAGTTCTTCCCACTTGTTTGTAGGTCATTTATACTAACTATGGGGAAAACAAAAAGAGAAACCTATCCAAACAAGCCACAGTGTTATGCTGGTCCAATGAATGACATGTTCCTTTATATCACTGTAGTTAACTCCGTTAATCACATATGCTACAAAATAAAAGTGTCTAAAGCATCAAATGTTTATTTAACCATCACGGTAAATAGTCCCCAACAAATTCATGATTGAATCCTGTTTAAGACATTTTTGCTAAACACTACAGAACCCACAACCCAGCTGTTTGAGGGAATAAGGTAGCATGAATTTGTGACTCCCAGAACATTTGTCCTGACTGACTTACACCATACTGTTTAAAGAAATTCATCTTTTTAATTTTTCAGTATTAGGACCACATTTAACCCCCCTGTGAGGATAACATGATAAGATAAGATACGATAATCCTTTATTTATCCCACAACAGGGAAATTTACGGTGTTACAGCAGCAAAGAGCAAAGATTGCAAACAAAAAGTGAACACAGTACACAATTTAAATAAAAAAAGAAAATTTAAAATGTACAAAAAAGATTATCAAGATTATCAGGTGAAAAAAAACATATTTACTTATACTACATTGCAGTGCCTGACTTTAGATTGGAATTTCAAAATCATGATATCAAGGTCCGTGAGGGTTCAGTGTCAGGTTATAGGTTTGAGATTGTAATTGGGCCTGAGACATTTGCTTATAGATATATTTAGTGTAATTTTATGAAAACTTCAAGAGAAACAATATCTATCTATCTATCTATCTATCTATTCCTCACATGGGGCTTTATATAAAAAATATTTTAAAAAATACATTTTGAGGATAAAGTTGTTATATTTCAAGAATACATTTGTGATCTCACAATAACATGTCAAACTATGAAGGAGTCTTAATGTTATTTTGATCAGATTAACCATCTGTTACATAACTATATATATATTATTATCATGTTCATATCAGCAATTTTTTGCACTACTCACCACTGCACTATTGTCTTATAGTATATATTAGCGTTTTTTTTGTTGTTGCTTATATTATGTTTAATGTTTAACTTTGTACATTGAGAGCACAGTTACTGAAGATAAATTATGTGTGTGTGTAAGCATACATGGCCAATAAAGCTGATTCTATTCTATTCTATTCTAGACACTGAAATGAGGAACCTTGAGAATCTTGTGAACTTTAACTGAAGAAAAGGTTTCAAAATGTCATTAAAGCGAACCTTAGCCTTAAATAACAACCTTAGTCTGGTAACATTACAACTCTTTTCTTGTAATTTTACAGCTTTAGTCACATGATTTTACAACTTCATTCTAATAAAGCTATGATTTTTTTGAAATATAAAAAATTTGTTCTCGACTTTACTCTCAAAATATCTGGTTATTTTCTTTAATGTGACCCAAACACTTCTTTGTAAATATATACATCACATAAAGACTATATGAAATCATGATGATTGACCTCAATACGTGTAACAAAAAACAACAAGGTGCTTTTTAGTAATTAATCTCTAGATAATTGTTTACATTGTGTTTATTACTGTTCTGTTTCTGTATTCTGCAGGATTGAGATCGAGGCCACACTCGAGAGACTGAAGAAGCTGGAGAGAGACCTGAGCACCAAAGAGCAGGAGCTGAAAGAGCGAGAGCGCCGTCTGAAGATGTGGGAGCGCAAACTTGTGGAACAATCCAACAGCCCGGTGAGTTCCCCGTTATCCCCTCTCCACCTTCACCTTCACAAGGGGCATGTTCTCTCCTCTAAGCTGCTTCTGAGGGGAAATAGAAATGATAAAGCAGTGAAATGAAATGAAAAGTATGGAATAAGAAGTGACAGAAAAGCCAAATCCTGAGAGAACTATGAGCGACATTTATTGTCAGCAGTGTGGTGCATGGTCTCCCAACAAGTAGGCTTTTATCCTGATGCACAGAATGGATCATCCCTTTCATTTTGTGCATCCAGCCTCTGGTCTGCACTCCACAGCAGCTTAGCATTATATTTTTGCATGCAAAAAACAATTGTTTTCAGCCTTTGTTTTCACTTGTATTCTTATGAACAAACCCTGTGTTACTGAACGTCACAGACATATCTCTTTGAAGCTGTAACTCCACAACACACAGGGTCTATTGTTTGAGGTTTTATAGTTGACTAAACCTTGACTCAAGTGCAATAAAATCCTTTCCTGTGTTTCCTTACCTTTCTTTTCCTGCCCTACCCTTCCTTGTTTGCTCTGTTCTGTTTACTTGCCTTTAAAAACTTAAAAGCTTTTCTAAATCAAACTAAAGTTGAAATAGTATTTTTTTTCTGATTTACACTTCTCCTGTCTTTCTTTCTATCCTCTGTTCTTTTCTCTTCCCTCTCTGTGTCTCCGCCTCTCAGCTCTTCTTTCCCGCGGCTCAAAAGATAAGTGCTCAGTCGTATTATCAGTCAAAGACGGAGGAGTCAAACAGTTCACAGATGTCCTGTCAGATCACAACCTCCGGTAACGAGGAGGTGAATCTGCAGTCGGTGATGATGAAAGGCTTTGACGACGTGTTTTCCTTGGACTTTGGCCTTCCCGTGCTGCACTCGGGCATGCGAGTCAACATGCAGGCGAGGCAGAACTCCTCCGTGTCGAGCTGTGTCAGAGAAGGACGCAAAATCAACATGACTGTGGGGAGGGGACGCTTCGCTTGGTCTGATGACAGCGAATAGACTCGACGATGTTACAGCTACATCTGTAGAATCCTTTAATGTAACTCGATGCATAATTAGTATCATACAGGCACTTTTTTCACAATGAAGTGCTGCTTGAATCCTGATAAATAGTTTAATTCAGTTTCTACCACATCCCTGAAAAAGCACGTCTTTGCACGGCAATTCCTCTGCTTTATTCAACTTCTTGATTTGCCTTTAGAAATAGCTCAGTGCAGCACAGAAACATGTTATAGATTATATTTGTAACCCTCAACCTATGGAGGACCTATTATGAATGTCATTTACTGTATGCCTAATGTACTGGATGTATAGTGCCATGCTGTGAAGAAAGAGCCACGTGAGCCAGTTGCTTAGAGAAGGCCAGGCTTTTATGATGAAGTGACATTTTGCTGACATTAAGATTGGCCAATTTGTTCTGGATGTGGTGGAGTGCAGTTGTTGAGACGCAGTCTTCTCTCACCAGGATGAAAAAGTACATGTTTTTTTTTTTTCTGCTGACTGACCCAGGTTCAAAACAGCAGGAGAGGGACTTTTCTGTGTGATTGTCAGCTTCATTCTTCATTTGACTTCCTAGTTTTCAAGATCGGCTACTTTTCTAGGCCCAGAAATATTATTTAAAATTAAGAAATTATTCAAATGTAATCCTAAATCAGGAGTCAAAGTGTAAACAATGAAGTATAGGTTTTCATTATAAATTCACTGAATAAAAACAAACAAAAAGAAACTGGGATGGGGCACCAGATAGCCTAGCAGTTATGTTGCGTGCCCTATGTACAGAGGCTTTAGTACTCTTCGAAGCGGCCTTGGGTTCGAATCCGACCCCGGCGCTTTGTCACCCCCCCCCCACTCTCTGATACCACCATTTCCTGTCTCTCTTCAGCTTTCCTATCCAATAAAGGCAAACTGGGAAATAAAGAAACTGGGATGATACCAATGTTCATACCAATGTTTTTTTTCATTACGTCTTTGTAATTCTTTGTGTCTGTTCTTTAAATAAGCTGTGTGTTTGGATGTCTTATAAAATGTAACTCTCCTCTTGTCACTGGAACTTGTCTTACAAACTGCATGTCGCTGATCTGTCTCAGAGACGATGTTAGACTCCCACACTGACAACATTTTCTTTCATATTTAACCATGAAAAACAACAACAGACGCCTTCTTCTGCCCAATAAAAAAAAACTTGTCTCTGAATCAGCAGTTGGTACACCAGCTTGCCAGCATTCAAATGATACAACACATCAGATGCACATCGGTTACTTACATCAATGCATGCTACATTATTTGCTGATGGGCTGATGTTTGTCAACAGGGCCAATATCAGCCTTTATGGATGTTCCACCAACATTGGTGCGTCCCTAGTTTTAAAAGAATTATCCATACAGTATCACAACATGTAGTCCTCACATATTGCCTCCAGTCCTGCACTTTACAGGAGAGGAATGGTGTTAGCTACATTGTTGAGTTAGGTATTAAGCGTCATCTTGTGGAAGGACATGCTTCCTTGAGCATAGCCCATTAAATGCCCCCCTCGCATGTTCTCATCAGTCATTCTCATGAGGATGTAATCCTCTGTATTCCTCTGTTGTTGCTTGTTAGCCTCCTGTCGTGAGCTAATAATCCTATTCAAACAATGCCTGTAATGCTGTACCATCAAGTCCCTGCTCGTACTAGACTAGACATCAAAATGAACACAGAAAAAAACACTTATTAAACATTTCATGGAGTTTCCATCACAATCATATAACGAGCAGGTTCTTTGTGTGACTTATTTACCTGAATCCTACATGATTGTGTCAATAAATCAATATCTTTCAAACATGTGCCAATTAGTTTGCCATGGATTTATTCATTTTTAACAAATGAAGATAAAAGGTTCATTTTCCATCAGAATATATGTTGTATGACAAACCTAGAATAGAGTGTGACTGATAACCCTGTATGATTTCAAAACGGAAATGCTGTTTTTTCTAGAGCTGCTTGTTTTATATTAAGTTCTTGTCACTTTGTAACCCCCTTGAATTCATGGTCCGGTTACCCATAATCCACTCAGACCACAGGGGGGCAGAATTGTGTGGATTTAATCTTCACTCAGAGTCTTCTTTCGCCCTACACACACACACAAAAAGCTGACCCCGTTTTGAGTTTGAGATATCCATGAATCTACAGGATGTAAATGAAAGAAGCATGGCAGCACTTTCGTGGAATACAACAGGCTGCTTGAAAAGTGATGTTAAGTCACTCCAGAGAGACTCTGGCAGTGTCAGTCTGTTACTGAATCTGTTTACTTCCGAGCGGCAGCACTGGAGAAGGCGGGGGGAAACGCTGCGGGGCTGAGTGTCTTTATGCAGGCTGCACTGAGATATATACAGCAACAACTGTCTTTTGAGAGCAGTTCTTAATCTGAGCTGTTATCAGACGTCTCGGGAAGAAGACAGTGAATGGCGATTACTCATTCATTTATTTATTCTTTCCTTTCGATTTTTCCGTTGCATTATTTCTGTCATTACACACCAGTCTCATGAGCACAATGATGGAATCTTTATTTTGGCTGGCAAGTTTCTGCCTGATTACATTTAATGAGCAATAAATGATTTATCATTCAAATAGATCACGTTAGATCAGTCGGATGGACATTTTGGTTTGATATAGACCATTAGAGGCAAGTCATCTCAATCGTGCAGCACAATAACCAGAATAGTAATGGCTTCCAGTACATGGAAAACACGGCTGTTTTCCATTTTAATAACATTTACTTGAGCCTTGTGATTTTGACTTTTAAGATCTGTCTTTCATAAATACACACATTATTTTTACTGTCTGTATCCACCCATATTCTATTGCTGTTATTTCTATTTGTTTCTGTTTTTATGCAGTTGCTGCCCACCCTTGATATCTACACATGGACTGAGGAACATGTGGTCAGTATCTTTGTATTAACCTCAATATTTAGGCCTTTGCTTTTGATTTCCACATCATGCAGTTCACCATGGCAGTTCAAACTCAAATGTTACCGTTTTGTTCCTTTTAGTATTTCTGGATGCAGCAGATATTTGGTGCAGGTTTGTTTATGAAACCTACTTTGTACTCTTGAACTTTTATCACATTTTATCGGCTTCAGAGTCTTTATTTTTGAGCGTGTTTTCTTTTCTGTTACAGGGGAGGGCACGTGTGGCATGCACTTGTACGCTGACCTGTTTAAAGAAAACCACATCACAGGAAAGAGGCTGCTGTTGCTCACAGAAAACGACATGCGGGACATGGGTGTCAAGTCCAAAGGTCACGTAATGCACCTAAAGGTGAGGGCAGAGTTCATCTTTAATCCATATATTATTCACATGTTGAGATACATGTGCTTATGAATATTTGAAATAACATTACATCCCAAATCTTCTGTTTGACAGGCTGAAATTGAAAAGTTAACCCATGACTACCTCGGGTTCGTTCACTTCCCTCCACTTTTAAAGGTATAAAGTTTCTTATTTATCTGAAAGAAGAGTTGCTTTTTCTTGTGTTTTTTTTCATACATAATTGCCCCCCCCCTTCCCTCCCACAGGATGAGCTGGAAAAGGAAGTGGAGAGGTTGAAAACTGTCAATCTGGAGCTGGTGTTTGGATACCACTGGAAACCAGGAATTGGGGAATCTGTAAGTTTCACCAAATGATTAAAGACAATCACCAATAAATGTATGTACTCTGTACTGAACAGGGGTTTAAATTGTCACCATCCTGAATATGTTTGGTAATAATTGTTATTTCCTAATGCATGCACAGAATGATGTTTTCACCATGATTGACTCAGCCTCTTTGTACTAAGGCTGTTTGTTCTAGAGGATTCAAGATGACGGCTGTTAAACTATCATTGAAGGCATCACTAGACATGTATAAAATCAGACAAATAAACATTTCATTCTCAGCCATGTAGCACATCCCACATCGAACTCGCTCGCAGCCCTTTGTTGGGGTCTCAAACTGTGGAGAAAGGGTGGCTCTTCACTTGCTGTTTGAATTTAATCAAAAATAGCCCATTTAGCCAGAAGTCATTTTCTTTTTAAAAGGCAAACGTTATTTAATCTTTCAGCTGTTCATTGTCCCATCATAAATAGTCCTCTTTCAGTGTGTTCGGCAGGGCTGAAACGAGCCTGCTAATTGCCTCCCATTTCTTCTGACATGTGGTGGTTTAGTGGGTAGAAAACACAGCAGGGAGAAGGAAACAGGAGGCTGAGAAAATGAGAGCTAATTATTTTCCCCTGCCTGGTGTCAGGTTCCGTGTCAGCCTTGTTTTTACAAACTGGAAGGTTTTTTTGCACTAAATAAAACAAACCCGCACTGCATTTTTTTTTTTTCCCTTCGCCCCTCTTTGCTGGCGATGTCATGGAAGCAGCTGCACTTCTCAAAGACAAAATGAGGGCCTGCGATTGTGCGGCCACCATCTGACAGCCACTGAGGGTCCCCTACTAATGAGGATATCACCGTGCAGCCAAGTGAAAGGTGCTGAATTATGTATGAGTTGTCATTAGACGCACTCGGGTCCTAGGCATCATTACCAGACATTGTTTCTGCTGGAGTGATTAGACTAGCGTGGACCTGGAAGCCCCGGTGTGACCGTCCAGGGCTCGACACCAGGCCGGCGCGGCGGTGTGTTTCTGAGCCAGTGGCTTGCTGAAGCTTCCCCTGTTTGAGCTGTTTCCAGCCCCCGGGGACGATGCAGGAGAGGGGATGAGGGCTCCTCAGACGAGTGTGTTAGTGCCACTCCTCTGATGTCTTTCTCTGTGATCACTACACAATGGATTGGCCTGTGCCATGAACCTCGGGTGGTTAAGCAGTGACCTGTGGTTTTGTGGACGGCGTTTGGGGATTGGCAGTATCATTACTGCTTCGTCAGCATTCTGTATGTATGAGAGGAGGGCTGGGGGGATTGTTCAGATTTATGCATTCGATAGTGAGGATTTGATGTGTCCCACATACAGCAAGTCGGGAGGAAAACCATCATGACCCCTTGTCATTTAAAATCAACCAGACTCCTGCTGCAACAAATGTATCCTGGATCCCATAAAGAATATTCAAATCAGATGTTTGACAGGGAATTTTAATGACAACGAAGGAATCATTAATGCTGTTCCAATTTTATCAATACATTTTTATATAAGAACTGATTTCCATGAAGACTTTCAGAATGTGTTTAACCTGCCTTAGATATACATATTATTTGAATTTCACATATTTCCCATACCCTTGGGATTTATTCCTAATATTTTTATTTCAAAATTTCTGCCCTTCGAAAGCTTACCACTACCATTGAACTACCTCTAGGTTGTGCTGTTGGTTTATATACAAGTGGAACCAAGTTTCCCACACTGAAATTATAAACTTTTCCATGCAATCAGGTGTTGTTTCTGAGTGTAGCAGACCAGGCCTTCATTATCTCAGCATCAGCTATTTTTTCTTTCTTTCAAGGACTGCAAATGGAAAATGTACTTGGAGCTGGATGGAGATGATGTCGCGGTTACCTACATCAGAGATGTTGTCTTCAGTGCCAACCGACAGGATGTGGAAATCCTGCGGATGACGAAGGTGAGGACAGAAACACATTTCCCAGAACAAGTTACAAATACACACTAATGCTTCATTTTGTCTTTTTTTTCTCTGTGTTTCTGACCTACCTGGCTTTATTTCAATTGAAGAAGATTTGTGTTATGTTGCCATATTTAGTTTGTTTTTTTGTATTGCAATGCAGCCTCCTTTTGTAATGGACAAATGGATCATTGGAATGGCACAGAACCAGCGGGTTGACTACACAGTTAATTATGAGGTGAGACATTTTAGCAGCAGTCAAACCATGTGCATCGCTCTCTCTCTCTCTCTATCTCTCTCTCTCTCTCTGTCTCTCTCTCGCCCCCTCTCTCTCCCTCTCTCTCCCCACCCCCCCTCTCTCTCTCCATGTATATAATCTCCTACTGTTTTGACTTGATTCTACAGGATGATGTCAAGTCACCAAAGACCACTAGACACAGCTCTACGATGAATTGGAGTCTTGTAGGGGGGCAGGATGAGATCAAGACTGTGGAGCTGCTCATCGAAACAGCACCAGCTAACATTGACTGGAACCCCAGAGACCGAGCCAACAGTGGTAATTTTTTGTTGTCGTATTTGTGTACACTAAAGAGTGCCAAAGTTTTACCTGCTGAACAAACATAATAAATGTATTTAATTGTACTTGACCCTGTGTGTGTGTGTGTGTGTGTGTGTGTGTGTGTGTGTGTGTGTGTGTATATATATATATATATATATATATATATATATATCATTGCATATCCCCCTTGTCAGATATTGATCCAAAATGGATGCACAGTGTAAGGATGAAGCAGATGATGACCCAGAAATCCCAGCCAGCAACTGTTCCCCTGGCTTCCGAGGCCCGCACTCTGCCTCAGTTCTTGTCTGCACACGAGAGCCAGGTCTGTTCTTACGCCGGAGCTGTGCGTCGCTCTCCAAACCGCGCCCATAGATCACCCTGGATCGACTCACGCAGCTCCTCACCAACCACAAGCCTCTCCGCCAAACTCTCCCCGCTCCACCTGGGGTCAAAGGGCAGCAGCCCGTCCAGCACTACATCAGAGAGCACCTCAGAGAGAGAAAGAGAGCGCCCCAAGAGTGCTGGGGCGGTGCACAACCACAACAGAAACCCCTATTTTGGCAACACATTAACTGTGGGAGGGGGGCAGGGAAGGGGGCAAGCATGGACCAATACAAGAGGTCATTATATTCATAATAAAACCAGCAAAACGCCACGGCCGGCAGGAAGGCCGCGTTCCAACAGTTACAGTGTCATGCCACAGAACCGCCCCTCCGCGATACCAGGTATACTGTCTGTGACAGAAAGCCCCAGTGAGGAAAAAGAGGGGGGCAAAGCCAGTGATGGGGGGTGGATCAAAGTGGAGCGACAGAAAAGATTACCCCGTCAGGACAATAAACAAGTCAGAGGTCGACTGAGGAGAGGGGGCAGGGGGGGGCGTGGTGCCGGAGGAAGATCTTAATGTGGGCTGGTCTAAACATGTAATGTACTGAAAGGTACTTCAGATAAAATATGTGTATTAACATGCTTATAAATGAACTGCGTGTTGTAAAAGAATCACACTGATGCCTAAGATGTATATATGTTTGACCTAGGTTTTATTTTTTAAAGCTCGCTGGTGTACTACTGTTAGAAATTACTGTTTGTAGACCTATTAGGATTATCATGATTATTATTATTATTATTATTATTATAAGAAAAAGAATAATAACTGTATTTTTTTCTTCTTTTTTTTTAATAAATACGTTTTTACACCCTGGTTGCAGATTGGATAATAATAAGCCTCTTTAGTGTCTTTGTGTGCAGTGTTGTTGACATGGAAATGCAAAAATCTACTGACACCCTTGTTTGACAATAGTTGTACACTCAAAAGTGCAAAGGCGTAATTATTTGTGCTACTTGGCCTTGTTATTTTATGCTCCTCTTTGATGCATATCAACTTCCTGTTGAGGCATAACCCTATATTTCTACTCTAAAATGTTTGTAGTTCTTTATTTGTGTATTGTCTTCTTACGAAATTTACTCATCTCCTTTTGCCCTTTGCTGATAAATCTCATTGCTTTAAATTATGTATTTACCTACATAATGTGTATCTAAATGTTTCATATCGCAAAGTCATTTCGGATGTTCCATTACTATTTTCTATCTGCTAAAATGTTGAAAGTAATTCCCTGGGGGACTTTTGGACTCTGAGTTTTACTCCCCTTTTTTCAGTTTGAAAAAACTCAACATTTTTACCCGCGTCGCATGCAAATTCTCAAATAAAAAGTTCGCGCCACTACAGACTACCTGGAAGACCCACGGTCCTTATCGCTAAAACGCCACATAGAATAAAGAAAGTACGGTGTTTTGTGAATCAAAGAAATAATCAACTTACCTAAGGGTGATAATAATCAGGTTTTCTTACAAATTTATCCTCCGTATTTTGCAGAACATACTTTGTTTTACGAAACTCCCTGCGTACATTTTATGCAGCTTTCAGGACCTTCGGGTGGCGCGGGAAATGAACAGAGTGTGGACTACATGCAGCTGCAGGTCCTGCATTGTTCAGTGCAGAGCTGTAGCAACGTTTGTCTGTGTGTCTCTGTTTGTCTGGGACGATTTGAAAAGAAAAATGCCCTCCACACGCTCCAAGGTAAGAAAACAGTTTATTTGGTAAACATTGAAAATGATTTTGTTTAATTAACTTATTTATGATTTAAAAAATCTTCTTTTGCCACTTTTTCCAACGTTAAATCATTTTCATTCTCGACCCTAGGTTATAAAGTCTTTGCACCAAGTATTAGCTTACACTTTTGTATCTCCAAACTGCACAATTTAGTTATATTTTTTTAAAGTAAAGCAACTTGGGGATTTAACCTTATTTAACTCGGTTGGCTTTACTACTGGTACAAGATTAGTCTAAGGTTGCAACTTTTTCTTTGGTAGCGATTAGTTAGGTGAAGGAAATACTGTGAATGCTGGCAGTTTGATTAACAATGTAGAAATCCCTTCAGTCATGTAGAAATGTAACAGCAGTTGTATTTCAACAAGGACAACAAAGTCACCTACATTTGGCCAGGTTTGTGGGTAGGGGTGTGTCCTGTTATCTGCTCCAACTCATGCAACTCCAAGACCGGAAACACAGACTGAGGATGATTTTATTTGATAAATAGATTGACCCCCACATATTTGGGAATCACTTTGAATTGAAATTAAACTATTTCACATTTACAATCTGAAAGTCTTGAGCTTTTATTTTGAATATTTGTACTTTCTTAAAATATAAATATAACATTATAATATAGTGTCTGATTTAAAACTGAAGTGATGATATTTTGTGTCTTTTGCTTTTATCTGTATCTTACACTCTCCTGTTTTCATTTACAGACTCTGGCATCCCAGCCTCTGTCCAAAAGGATGAGTTTGAGGAGTTTCCGCAGCAACCCCCTGGTTCCCATGGAGACGTCCTCCTCGTCCTCTGATGACAGCTGTGATAGCTTTGGCTCTGATGGAGGCTTCGCAAATACGGTAAAAATTACATTTCAAACTTTGTATTTCAAAATAATTTGTGTTTAAATTTGTTGGGTCTTTGCATCACTATTTGAAACCTATCTTTGTGTTTTTATTTAGAGGAGATGCTTGAGGCCAACGAGGCGGATGGCAGAGAAGCCAAAGGTGTTTGAGACATCTTCAGAGGAGGACACATGCAGCGGGTTTGAGAACGTTATCAATACTCAGATGAAAGCCATGGTAAGTTTTCTGAGGAGAAAATACACTTGCAATGTATTTCAGAATTTAAACAGAAATCGAAAGAGTTCATTCATTTTTTTTACCTTTATCGTCTTTCAGAAAGTGGACACTGAAACTCCAAAACGTGGCCGCAGGTCTAGTATCCTTAAAGTGGCCATGACGTTTCCATCCAAAAAGATCGGCAAGAAGAGACCTGCATCTGAACCGCTCCCTCAGGTTAAAGCAAAGGACATGGACTCTGAGGAGGAAGAAAACTTCATGCACAAGAGAGCCCTGAATATTAAGGAGAACAAAGAAATGGTATAATTTGCTTTACTTGTTTAAGTGTTTCTGAGTAGTTATTTAAACTGAACTTTGATCTGAACAGTCTTTCATCATACTCATGCATTTCTTTTTTTTTTTTAGCTGGCAAAGCTCATGGCTGAGCTGAACAAAGTACCCGGTCTGTTTCCAAGACGAATGGCTTTGTCTGCTTCCACTACGGTAATTTAAATCCCAGATCAACATCTGAATCAGCACACATCTCTAGCTCAGTGTTAACCCGTACTGTATCATCCTCTTCAGCCCCGCCAGGCACCTCGGCGCTCCATGGGAACTCCAGGAGTGCGAAGGAGGAACCCTGAGCGCTCGTCTCGGCCCCACACCAGGTCTCGCACGCTGGTGAATGGGCCCCCCGAGCCCGGCTCCAGAGGAGGAGCCCGAAGACAAGTTCAGCCTGGTTCGCAAGGGCCGCTACTATGAAGAGGATGACGAGCCAGTAAGTCTCAAAACAACCTGCTCGCCCTCTCTCTCTCGTTGCATCAACTTCTTCTAATACAGCATAGGTAATAATCACATTCTGACACGCTGTGTTTATTCCATCTGCAGCCCCGTCGCCGTTCCTTTAATGGCACTAAGGCCATCCCACATGTCGTGCGACCTGTTGAAGATATCACTGAGACAGAGCTGCAGAGGATTTGTGACAACGTGCGGGAGAAAGTCTACAACAGCTCCACCGTAGGTTCCTTATAAAAAAAAAAAAAAAAAAAGATCTGAGAAGGTTTGCTTGTTAGGCCATCAGCTGAGGTTTAAAAATGCATTTTCCTTATTTTCAGGGATCGACTTGCCATCAGTGCCGCCAGAAAACAACCGACACCAAAACCAACTGCCGTAACCCTGAGTGTGTTGGAGTGAGGGGTCAGTTCTGCGGCCCCTGTCTCCGTAACCGATACGGAGAGGAGGTCCGAGACGCTCTGCTGGATGCTGTAAGTATCTAGATCTGCAAGGTTATCTTCAATGCCGTGCGTGTGCGCGCACTGACTGATTTCCTTCTTTCATCAGGAGTGGCAGTGCCCGCCGTGCAGAGGGATCTGTAACTGCAGCTTCTGTAGGGCCAGAGACGGCCGCTGTGCCACTGGAGTGTTGGTTTACCTGGCTAAATATCATGGCTTTGATAACGTGCACGCCTACCTGAAGAGGTATGTGCAGCCTTTTTAGAACGTCAAACTTTTACAACAAATGTTCACACAGTTGAGAGTTTGTTCTTTAACTCTGTGGCTCTTCTTTATCTGCAGCTTGAAAAAGGAGCTGGAAGAGAGCAGCGAATAAAAGAGGAAGGACGGAGCACATCCTGGACCTGACCAACCATCACGTTACACAAACTGTTCATTGTGTTTGAGGCGTTGTGAAGCAGTGCTTAGAGTTCCTGTTTGGGGAATTTTAAATACTTTTTGTAAGTATCGATTTACATTTGGAGGAATCTCCAAAAGCCAGTTCTCTCTGGCCATGAGCTTGAATCATTTTTCCCCCTCCACATCTCCCTCTGCCTTCTCAACCTTTTAAAGGCTTTGTGATTTTTTTTTTTTTGATCTAGTAGATGCACCAGCATGAAACCAAAACAACTCGCGCTGCATTGTTGTGTTAGCATGTTAATGCTAGCGATCTTTATTATGCTCGTATCTTCACACTGCATGTAAATTTACCTGAAATGAGCGTGATCTAGAAACACAGTTAAGCAGTGAGTACAGTATGTTATTCTTCTTTTCTCTAGTCCCTCAATTAAACAACTTTTATACACGAGCGGAGGAGTCAGCCGGCCGTCCCGACGATGTAAACAAACTGAAGATAGGACTCTGAAAACATCACAGTGGGACTCGGGTGTTACACTCATTGTAGACAGTCATGACTCAGAGTTATTTTCAGAGGATATACTTGATTTCTATTATATTTAAGTGTGAAAAATCACATAAGGCCATTTTTTGAAACATTCCATATGTTCACTTGTTAAATGTCTCTCTTTGATCTTTAATATGAAGATTGAGCAGAATCTTCCTCCCTTTTAAAAAAAAAAAAAAAAAAAAGGGTGTTCAGATGATCTGCTGTATTTTACATTGTTTTAAATGTATAGATTTTATACAGGCCCACTTATTTCCTGTAGTTCATTACAGGAAATGAATTACTGAATTACCAAGTGATATGTTTTTGTGCCTTTTTCTGAAAAAGTATTTTCTGCTGCAAATTGATGCTTCAGCTGTAAATGTATGCTTGTGTTTTTACAAGATGTCCAATGAAAATATTAAACAAACAACAAAATGATGAGTCTTGGGTGGCATGTCCCGTAGAAGCAGCGTGGTGCTCTTCATGCAGCTGAGGTGATGGAGGTGGAAAGGGCACAGACCGGGGTCCACTGCCTCTCACTTTAAAGCCGTGTGGAACTGTGATATACTACAGGCTCTGGTTAAATATCCTTCATTAGATAACTGTCACTAATGGTGTGGAAACAATTAGCACACTCTAATGGGAATCTCATACCTGTAAATCATTTGATCCTGTTAAGGCACATTCTCGCTCTGCTGCAGTCTCTTTGGCTCATTTTCTGCTGTACTCAGTTTTAAGTAGGAATGGTTGAAGGTGCCGCTGAATTGGCCACAGAGTTATGGCCTGCGTTTTTTTTTTTTTTTTTTTTTTTTTTTCTTCAAGTGTAATACTCTACACCAAATGACATGGAATTAACGTTGTGTTGCATCTGAAATGTTCTTCACTGGACCCACATGATACATGTTGAAAGTAATCAACAGTTGAGGTTTTTCTCCACCATGATGCAGGTTGAGGTTATGTAACCATCAGATACTGCAGTCTGACCTCTTGATGGATTCATTTGGTGTGTTAAAGCTTGCTTTGTGTTTACTGTACATTTTCATTAAAGCGTTAATCACTGCATCATCTGTTTTATTTGATCGATCATCACTCCACTCAGAATGCAGCTTATTATTGTGATGCAATGCATGTGTGTGAGCATTGACGATCTAAAAGAGTCAAGTTCACTATCAATCACTGTTCACTGACTACGGCCCGTGTTTAATGTATGCTTCTTTCCATATAGTAAAAATGATTTATGTAATCTGAACAAAGTGTTAATTCAATCCTCACGGGTCAGACAATCCTAAAATGTGTTTATGTATTTGTTTAAATTTCAATGAAAGAACGAGAGGCATCCAGTCAGTAAACTGTCTATGCACAATTTCAATGTGATTTTATTGAATTCAATATAACAACACTTAAACCAGCAGGGCTCCAAACAAAAGTTTGAATTATTTCATTAGACTCCAGGCAGTTTGTCTGTCTTAGCAAAAGAACATTTAAAGCAACATGTCAGCCTAATGGTCTAGTGTTACTACATCATTAATCAATGTGTTTTATTATAAGTTAGTGTGCAGGACTTTGCATCAATCGAAGCAAAATTGATGCTGATCTAAAATCAGGGATTGACGAGCAATGTTTGCCTACATAGCTTGCGAGTTGACCGTCACTGCAGCACTGTTCACGAGACAAGATTTGGATAACGGTCATCATGATGTTCAGTAGAAAATGCAAATTGACTTCATGACTTTGTGGTAAGAGTGCAGAGTGTTAAAACTTTTCCGACCAGAGCGAGTCTGGCAATCACTGGACCAGCATACAGCTCGTAGCTGGTGCTGAGTGTGTAAGTCCATGTGTTTTCATCATCCGGGCAGTTTGGCTTCTAGTAATGAACATGTGTGCTGTAGGTTGGTATGTGACGTTGGTGGTATTGTTCATGCATTGTCCTGTCTGTTTGCAAAGAATGAAGCAGCCCTCCAGTACAGCCCACTCACCCTGAATTATTTTTCATTTTTAGCCGTAGCACAATACAATATGTAACAGGATGTGGTGATCCTGCAGACTGTTGACTTTGCTATCGTACTAGACCAAAGTAACCCACATGTCCAGCTTGTACCTTGGTTGCATCTAGGCTTGAAGCATTATTCATCAATTCATTCCCGACATGAGTTTAATTCACGCAGGAGCATCAAAGAACCTTAATAATACTCTTTTAAATTAATGACAGAGATCACCTGCAGTGATGTCATACTGGGATACTGCAACATTTTACATTTATAAAACAATTCCACATTTTAAATTTTCTGTTTTGTATAGTTGTTAGTATCAGTTTGATAAAACAAGACACACATCTGTCCAACCCTGAGGACTTGCACATGTACATATATACCAGACTGTAAATAATACAGTCTATGATACATATGTACAATGTGACGCTGTGGAGGAAAAAGTACGGTGTATAAACATATACTACTATACTATACTATACTTCAACAACATTATAGCACATAATTTATAATACACACATATAATATATTATATTATATCCTAGAGTGCATTTTTTGTCCTAAATAATATACATTTATTACTTACTGTTAAAAGAAGATAAATGATTGATTACAAAGTAGATAAATTAAACAAATGCTTTTTTAATGAATAAAAGCCGTCTGTGAACAACATGTAGCAGAAGCCAGCAGCCGCTTAGCTTAGCTTAGCTTAGCTTAGCTAAGGTAGTTTAGCCTGGGTCTGTTTAAAGCTGGGTTTGCACAATGAGTGCAGTGAGTCCATACAAGACTCGGTAGTTGTCTGATAGGCTACAAGATAAAGACATATTCTGCCATATAACCCCAATAAAAAATGTTACCCTTTAGTTTTGTGTTTTTGCTGCTGGTCTCCCTTGGTAAAGAGGTTCTTAATCTCAACGGGATCAACCGAGTTAAAAAAAGGTTAGATAAACAAAAACTACAAAAATTAAAATGCTATCAATCTAACTGATTATATATATATCATGTTATTGATATTTGGCTGGCTAGCTGTGTCCAGTCTTTTTGCCTAGCTTAGCTAACTGATAGCTTGTTTGAGCTAGTTATTAATCAAATATGTGAGCCACATCAATCTTCTCACCTTACATTGCAAAATAGCTTTTCTTTAATGTTACTTATATTTGTATATTCCTTTAATGTGTGAATTCTTCATTGACCAAGACCTCTGTCTCTATGGTGAAAATGTAATTTAGTGTGTGTACTTCTCACTTTTGTCACATGACTGTGTGTGTGTAAGTGACAAAAGTAACATCGACTTCTTGGCTCATTAGTTTTTTGAATCCAACAATTGAGTAGATTTACAAATTCCATAAATTATTATTTGCTGTATGTTCCTTAATAAATCTGCAAATATAATATTTATCTTCTACAAAACAACAACATTGATAAAAGACACTTATCATAGACCCCTCATAATCAAAGCAATATAACAGCTATTACCAAAACAAGAAACCACATTTAAAAAACAATCCTGGGTTTTACTAAGTATCCAAAAGCTCATAATGTATTATCAGTTTTATTAAAAACGTTAATTTTAAAACTTGGTTACGATTTGATCATTGCCATTAAGGTTAAATTTGAGTGAAACGTTTTAGTTGGAATACATCTTAATGAAATGTAATTCATTAAAATGCTAATTATGGTAACTGGTTGAAAATTCCCCAGTTGTTGGATTCACTAATACAATCAATTTAGCTAAATGATACATAACTATTGCAGTATCTGTATTAAACTCTATTTATGAAATGGTATAAATAAAAAGACAATTATATTACTTATACTTTTTAAGTCTCTTCTTTTTCTCCTTTGTTTCCTCCAAAAAGGAGATTTCAAAAACTATTATTAGTATAATAAAGATGCACTTGAAAATACTAGTCCTGTATTAAACACCAATGATCATCCACTTTGGGGTGATGAATATTTAGGGAAGTAATTGTTTACAACGCTCAAGCATTGAGCTGATCTGGTAATCAGGCTATGAAATACAATATTTATTCATTAGAGCAGATTTAATGAGGCCTTGCGGCGCTAATTATGAAAACCAGTGTAGCAGTAAATGAGTAGCGCACGGTGGTGGGCTGCGGGGTACCTGTAAGGAGGGACTGGGGGTTGAAGTGAGTCACATGGCACAGTAAGCAGCAACACACAGCTCTGACTGTGGCCGTCCAGCCAACAGCTATACATCACCAGACCTCCAGACAGGTCGCAGATGGGCCTTGTTTCCCAGCATGCTCTGCTCTCCTACATCCAAGAATGACGGCTGGATCTCTGAAAGGTAACATAATATCCAACAAATCTTTGTATTGCACATCAACAAACAAGGTAAAAAAAATTCAGGCGGACTTGCTGCAGGCTTTTAAATGTCGTCTCCCTCAATATACTGCCATCCCTAAAGCTTACTCTGCAGCTTCTATTTGTATGCAGGTCTTGAGATATGTGGTAGGATTTTGCAGCATAATATGGGTTTTGATTGACTGATATTTTCATTATGGCTGCAGGGTAGCGTGCAGACTGTTAATTTGCTTGGGAGTCCTGCAGGTCTACGGTGATTGTAGCAGAGCCAGAAGAAAAGCTGAATAAATGAAACTCACAGGGCACAATCACAATCTGTGGGTCAAAATCAACTGATTAATTATAATTTAGAATCAATCTGTCAGACCTCTGTAATAAACACCGTTTCAGGCTTGCTGCTTAATAACCAGCTTTACGAGGCACCGATGTAACACGGGACATCGTGCTACAACCTGCAAGGCTAAGATATTATTATATGTTAAATACTTTTTG